TGAAGTATCTGACCCTCAAAAAATCTTGAACAAATTCATCCCGAATGAGAAAATTTATCAGTACTTTATTCGGAGTGACAGCCATCCGATCTCTTCGACCCAATTAGTACTGGATTCTAAGTATTGTGTGGCTAGACGTTTTACCCAAAATAACTTCAATAGGTTGAGACTAAACTACGCGAATTATTTGCTCAATTATTCATACGAAACTTAATGTGCAAATAATTAGGAGCGTTTTTAAATTTTATATGAAGACATTAGCAGCTTTTCGTCTTTCTTCGGTAAAAGGCTATTGGAAATTTTCAATTTATATATTCTTAGTACGGTACACAGTTAAAATTATTATTATGTTCTGTGTATAACAAGTGGTAAAAGAATCACTTCTTGTTATTTAATAATGTGAATGCTAAAGGTATGTCTACTTATATCACTCATCACACTTCACGATAGATTGGTTGGTTTGTACATATTCCTTAACAATAAGTTATTTATTTCATTCGTGCAAGCGAATTTAAAATTGTGTTCATTAATGGCTTAACGAAATATAGAAATAGGTCATGCGATATATTTTCTAGTATAAAATCAACTTAATCTTGGTCCCATATGCGGGAACTACGCCCCAACCCCGAACACCGGCGGACACTGCGCTTTGAACCATTTAGGAGCCATTTATTGTGGACTTACCGTTGAGTTCAAGCTTTATGTAACGACGAGTTATTAGGTCGAAAAAGATGGCTCATAATAGTTAGTTATAGTCTCAGTATAACTATTAATGCGAAGTAGTTACCCAGTTAGGCACATTGTAAGTTTGACCTACTTTTTTACGACCACTACTACCTCTTTTCTATATCTATCAAAATAATAAATTCAATTTGAAATTGTGTATCTTAATAAGACACATGTAGGTACTGCAGTCCATTTAATGCAAGTTGTAAACATTTTCAATTTCGTTTGCATATTTCTACTAAAGTATTGAATGTTTGGAACTAACTACTGTAAGACGATACCTATACAATAGAAGACTTTTGTCTTCTTCGGAATTAGTATTGTCTTCGCTGGGAGTTTCGTCTTACCAAAACTTGTCGGAACCGTAAGCTTCTGGGGAGGAAAAATAAAAGCAGAGCTCACGCCATGTTGGCGAGCCACCCGCGGCCGCCGGCGAGTTTTGTCAGAAAGCCGAGCTCGCTCTCAACTACCATCTTATTAACGATAATGTTGACTTGCTCGCTTTGTGCAACTCGGTTTACGCAAACTTGGGCTCATGTTTCAGTGGTTTATCTTCATGATGTGATGTAACGTCGTTCAATTTTCCAACTGATTAATTGTTGTTAAACTTTCCATTGACTTAGTTCACTCCATGTGACTTAAAAGTCGTACTTATCTGTTTAAGGGTTTTGTAAGGTTTGTTTACTAGTGATATTTGTTATAACTGATATTTTGCAAATCCCTTTGTTTTATAATTGGTGATTTTGGTGACGTATTTGGACTTACATGAATACTCACTATTGGACATGTATCCATCATGATTACACAAACGTGAAGATATTTCCACTGAATGAAGTTAAAATGTATAAAATAAATGAAATGCTGTGTTATTATATTTATGTTTGGGTCGTTACAGAAAAGCACAACAGACAGGAAGTTATTATTTTAATGGTGGACTGGGAAGTTTTAAAAATGTTGTAGTTGCTTTCATCGTTAATGTGATGGGTACGAAAACTATTTTTTTCTGATACAAACCGAGGGAAATGTAATGCGTTGCTTCGTAAATGATATCAGATAAAAGGAGATATTTTTGCTCTACATTTTGTATTGTACAATTGAAAAACTTGAGAAACTTATCGCTTTTAATGAGGGAAAGCTATGTCGGAAAAAATAATCGAGCTAAGCTTGGTATGATGATAAAATAAGTTTAGTAGTTCAAATGTAATAATGTCGAAAAGTACGTCTCTAATTACAACCTGGGTGTGAGACTTATACCTGCTCAATTAGGCATGTTGGATTGTTGGTGTCCATATATATACAATACACGTAGCTGTAATAATTCACACATAGTATTCGGATAACGGGAGATTAATATTGTTTAATGCTAAAAGTTAATTATTAGTTGATAAATGGCAATACAGTCTCGAGTCAGTTGGAGATCTTATTAATTTGACATATTATACGCAACGCCAAATAATTGGATTAATCAAAATGTCAGCGCTCATCATGTTGTCACCTAGAACCTTGAGTTGTGAAATGGGAGCCGAAATTGTGTAATGTTGGTATGACTTGTAACGTCGTATTATTTCAGTGTACCTACGCACTGTTTCTGATATGAAGGTTTGCTATCAAAGTATTTTGCCTGACCCTGATCAGTGAGAACAGGGCATTGTCGGCCCAGACGGGTCGATCATGTCCCGACAATTGTTCGAATTCTTCGCCGACGCAAAGAAAAAAGCAATCATCTAGATCAAGAACCAATTTTATCTTTTCAGAATTGTGTCTTTTAAGATATTACATACATACATTTTCCACCATATAAAATGAAAATTTTTGTTTAGTTTCAAGTTTATTTTAATTTCTAAAACGTTACCACTTTGTGTTGCCGAAAGGTTGTATCTTGTAACTTTATTTTTCCAGGTACTTAATTCATAGTTCGTATGCTCTAATATGAAACTCTAACACAGTTTGTATTTCTTTGCCAAGGATGATCAGGGAAATAAACATTTTTATTGGCATTACACGGAGTAACAGATATCAGTGTGGCGTCAAATATCACCGACCGCGATACAATAAACGTACCAATATTGCCCTGCGACAGAGCGGAGCAGATAAATCCTTGTAAACAAAATTGTGACTGTCACCGATATCGTACTTTATGATTGGATGCTGAAGGCAACACGAAATTCAAATCGTACCAAATTGACCGCATACCCTTTTCAAACGTCGTATACTTATGTATAATAATCCTAAAACACACCCTAAATCCTTTCAAGCCGTTGGACAATGACTTTGACGGCGTGCTATTATTATATTTTATTTTCCCTCACGACTCCTTATTATTTTTATACTTTTCTTTATACGAGGATATCGACAATAAAAACGAAATGTTTGTTGCTTGATTGAACCGCCGTGTGACATGTTTTTTTATTTCATGTCTACTGGCTTGAAGACACCAATCGTATCTTATACGATTGCTGTTTGTTGCCCGACAAAAAATGAGAATATAAATTGATCTCTCGAAGTATCTGGTGTTTATGGTATTAATAAGTTATTGACTTATCAAGATTTTGTTCAGCTTCTAAATAAACTTTTGATTAAATAATATTGAAAGTTGCTTAAGTACTTACCTGGGATTACTGGAACTGTTGTAGGTGTTTCGTTCGATCGATCACTGCCGATTATTTTTGTTTGTTGTGCATATGCGTTCGTTCCGTTTCTCACTTCCACACCACCGAAGCGAGGGCACATTAACTCATCGATCCCGTTTAATGTTCCGTATCACCACTATATTTATCGATATCCAATTAAGTGTTAAATAACGACACAATCCCGTTCGTACAAAGTCACTAATTTTACGATTCAATTGTCAGTTTTAGTAACATACATTCATACTTACATATACAACCCACAATGTGTCACAACACTTTACGTCATTACAGTTACTTAGGGTGGGTGGTTGAGTGTTGAATTTAATTATTTACGTAAGAGAGATATTCTTTGTAAGTCTTATAAACATGTTAAATATAATGTTATGTAGATCGGTAGGCCGGTAGCCGCAGTTTCACAACCCCAATTTACAACGATGGTCCGATAAGTAGGTAGGATAAATTGATGGCTTATTTTATAATAATAAAGCGCGCAGTGCTGGCAAAATAAGCGCGGTTTACGGTTAATATAGCACAGAGTGTTCGCAGCGAGGAAGTTTGTTGCATTTTGCATAAAATCGATATACCATCATAGGGTCGCTCGTAACCACACAACCCTGAATTGGTTATATCATTGAAATACTTTACCTTACTTACTTATTATGTTTATGTTGGATTTTGTGTACTTGATTTGACTAAGAAATTTTCTACAAACTCTTGATTTTTCGAAATCTACATATTTATCATCTATCATATCTATGAATTTTTCTTTATGACATATTTATTTTTGAATTTAAATACAAAAAATCGTCCAACATTTTTAACTCGTAGCAAAATATAAAGGAATCGCATTCACATTTTGAATAAAGATCCGTACAATTTATTACCCTTCCAAAATTGTGACTGACACAGTGAAATTTCATCGGCTGCATTTAAAACACCAATATGAAAGAACGTTCGAACTCCGACGTGTGTTCATGCAAACGAGCTGATTCCATCCGTACGTCATCTGACCGAGTTTTGAATGCGATGCAGCCACGAATTTTAAAACCGGTAAAGCTATATTCACGCTCGTCAGTTGCTCGTGACTCTTGGCAGTAAGTGCATTAAAGTGTCTGTGCCCGGCCGCGCAGTGCCTAGTTGGCCAGGTACCGCTTCCGCCTCCATTATTTTATGCAAAATAAGCCCGAGTGGGAGAACTGTAATAATTCTGTAAACAATGCCGCTTTGTTGCTCGTCTACGTTTATGTTTGCGATGTCGTGGCGATACCATGGCCTTACTTACATGTGAACAAAGAACAGTTTATCTTCAAAATCTTGAGATAAAAAATACATTTTAATCAAGACAAAACCTATTTCTGTGTTAAATTTAATGTTCTTTGTCTTTTGCAAAACTCACCCTTTGTAACCTTTAGTTTTATCAACAAAAAGTACTCACTGCATGAAGTGATTCCAGTCTAGTTTCGACTAAGTTGCTAATAGCAATTCATTTGTAATGTAACTATGTTCATTTGTTATCTTTCTGTAACATTTCAGAAAGTCTGGCTCAGTGTAGTGTAATTTCAGTGACAAATTATACTCAAAGGATTTAAGAAATTTCATTTATTTTGTAACTTTACATAAACAACTAACTGCAACGGTCACTATACAAAGTTTTCAACGCTGAAATAGACCATTTCCAAGATATGTAGTCCTTATCTATTTATTATTCTACAGGTACAATAAATTAAGATTGCATCTTGTTCTATGATTCTCTATAACAATTTTGGAAATGGTACAAACAACAACCAATGCGTACTAGAGAAAGAAAATAACGCAAGCCTCGTACGTCGAAATATTACATAGCTATTTATTTATATTACAAAGCACGCCATATTGTCTTTATTGTAGAAGTGATGAGATTATGTACAAAACGTATTTAGGTAAACATTTGGTAAGAAACGAGTAACATAACAGTAAGTACATTAATTTAACATCGCGTATAACTTATAATATTTACAATTTGTATAAAGCTTTTATTCAAGGAACAAATTATCTTTGTATTTTATAGAAGCCAGTACTTTTATTTCTTTTTTTATAGTTATTGCAAACATTGGTGACTAACACAAAATAACAAAGATTTCAAAAAATAAACTGTAGTGCTATTCACAAAGTGTCACTTTTTATTCGATTTTGCAAATATTCGAATAGTGCGTTGTCATTCGATAGAGTTTCGAAAGTGAATTTTACTGACTAGCGCTTCAGATCGATAGAAACTAGATTACTAGAACAATTTGTGGATAGGACAGGTAGGGGAGAATCAATAACGTAATTACAATACATAATTGAAACTTAAGCTAGAACATACTTTTACCATAGACCAGCTATGTAACAAACATAATAATATTTTCAAAACCATTTTTACACAACAAATGATAGACATTTAAAGCCAAACCCAACATTTCTTTATATCCTTTACTATTTTACAGGAGAAAGAGAGAAAACGAAATACAAAGCAAGAATTGATTTTCTTTGTCCTGCACATTGTTGTGGCGAGGCGGTAGATCATACAGAGGAACTTAGTACGTGGATATAATTCTCTTTTATTCTATTTACTCTTTACAATGAGGGAAAATATGGTCATAACTTAATTCCAAGTTAACAGATGGTCATTTTAACTGGCGAGTGAGTAATTGTAACGAGTGTTAATGGTATGATATTATCTTAATGCGAGCAAGTACGTGACACGACACGAGCCCGGCAATGGCGATGTAGCGTGAGCCGTGCCGTACATCGTACAAACGTGTGCTCTAAGTATTTAAACCGATTAAGTACACGGTGTAAATTGAACACACTATTGAAGTTTGAGGACATTTACTACTGACTTTGTAAACAGTTTTAGATAGAAGGGTTTTATAGTATAGTAAAAAGAAATAAAGTGGGAAAACAAACATCCTTATGCACTAAACTCAGTTTATAGTTATGTGATAAGATATGGCACATTAATAGTACAATTCTATCAGTCTTTCAATTATATCGAAAAGTATTTACAATTTCTATCAAATAGATACTACGTCTCCATAAATTATTCTTGCAATGTAAAATAAATAATAAACTTATAATAGATCATTTCGATGTGATGACAGTTTTTAAATGATATTTTGGAGTCGTAATTAAACGATATGACAAGTTTATGACTGACACAGCCCCTATCCTAATGTTTATCACTGCTTTCGTATCTCTTTTAGCACAAACGTCTTATTGGCACTAGGATAGGACCTGGAGACCGGTGGCCGTATGTCAGCTTGCAATCAAAAAGCCTCCAATGATGACCAGAGAAGCGCCTCGACTGATGGTGGACCGGGAAGACTGCGTCGACTCGTAATCTAAACGGAAGGAATAAAGTATATACACCAATAATTCCATCAATTAAAATATGGAAACGATCATTTGCATTTATAGTAACTAATTACATGTCGAAGTTATTTCCAGTCAGCATACTTAACGAGCGCTCCATAGTGAAATATTTTACCAATTTGCATCTTTCTATCGTGCCAATTATCTCTCGTAGGCAACTTTATCGACGTAAAGCGGTGCTGCAGAAACACTAAAAGGCTTTTAAACTACTAAATAATGTAAGTATTACACTTACCGACATCTTTCCACTCTTCTACTTCGTAGTCTCCTATGACTCTGTTCTCGGCGGAGCTGTCCCGCCAACGATTTTTATGTTTACCTGACAGAAACAAGGTACATGTGATACAAATGTCCCATGAGCAAAAAAGCCGATGTGGAAAATGATTGCGTCGTAAAATTTTCTTACATGCTGCTAAGGGGCTGTAAAAGTGGGCTTTCAAGTATGAACAAAACATATGACGCCATAAAGAGTATAAAAGAAAACCCAAATCTATAACAATAAGAAGGTATATTGGAAGTCAAAGCGCAAACAAAATCGCTTTTCCCACAATAATATTACTAACGACCCAATTGTACGCAAGCATTGGGCTGTGCCGGCAAAACCGATAAATACAAAATTCTCCATCGACCCTTCCGTTTGGTGACCCTGAGACTGCGATGAATGTATAACTGTGGAATGCGGGACTTGCACCACGTTTTTCCGGCCGTAGGTGCCAAAATTGTTCCTTTATCAAACGGATCAAGACACTTAAGTTGCCCCCATAAATTGAATCGTCTCTAGAATGTTTACATTACGCACTTGGTTATTTGAAATACAATTTACAGAGAACAATGAGTAAATAGAAGGAAAAACGCACCTTTCTTTCTTTGAGGAAATGTAGGGACGTTATTGTCCGTGGTACTTGTAGTCGAAGGTGCGGGGATTTCTGAAATTCACATGAATTTTAATGTACTACCAATTGGCAATTATTTTCTGATTCAGTAAAGAGATTGGTAAAGAAATCATGTTCAATATTTCCAAAAATCGATGTACGGAAGATAGCATATGTAGTATGTCTACGAATAATCTGGTGTTACCGTCAAGTCGGATAAGCCCATCCGTCTCGCCGAGGGAGTTCTTCGCGACGCAGCGGTAAGATGAAAAATCTCTTGACGATACCCTCCGTATAGTCAATTTCATTTTCCGACTGTAACTGTCGTCGCTTAGTGACGTGATGTATTTATTTCCTGCAGACGGATAAACGAAGTCATTAGTAATTCGATTAATTTGCTCGCTCCGGAAAGTCTGACGTTAACTTGTCAATTACGCTGCGAATCAATTACATCTTAGTAAATTCATATTTTGATCGTGTTCCAAATGATTTCTTCTGTCCAATTTACGATATAAACTCTTATTTAAGTGATGTGACACTAGTTGGATTTTAGTTTATGAGTTAATTAACTAAATCATAATTAATTTTCATATACATATTAGAGCTGATCAAATACCTGTCGTCACACAACTCGAATTCTAATTTAGCTCCCCAGATATAGTCCGGTTACGAACTTTATTCAGGTTTCAAGGGCGTCGGGGACTTAATTAAGTGGTACCGACCGGTTTAGGGATATGTCACGTTGCCTTTTTGACGGTAAGAGCACATTATGTTATTTACAAAGTGATTTATCGGTTTAAATAGATTTTTGTTCGTAATTTGTACTTATACAATAAAAAATGTAATTTTGTTTGATTACATTATATTAGATTACTAGCTGACCCGGCAAACTTCGTACCGCCTAAAAAATATTTTTCTCACCTTTTAAACCTTCCCTGGACTTCCACGAACATTTCAAAACCAAAATTAGCCAAATCGGTTCAGCCGTTCTCGAGTTTTAGCGAGACTAACGAACAACAATTCATTTTTATGTATATAGGTTCAAGAAAAATCTTACTTTACATAATACGTAATTATTACAGCTCGGTGTTTAAAATGGGTGCAAAATGAAATATTTAGAAGCAAATACCTGCAAAAAAATGTAAAATTAATTGTATCGTACCTGATATGATCATGTCTCCGCGGTCAGTGGTCCAGTAGTTGATGGAGGAGGGGTACGCCTCCGTATGGCACTCCAGCGTCACGTCCTGCCCAATGTATGCCGCCTCCAGTTGGTTGGGGATGGACAACATCGGTGGAACTGTTGATTAAATGAAAAGTATTTTTATGAATCTTTATAGACGTCAGAACTTGATGATAAGTAGTAGGTAGGCATGAGTCCGTAACAGTTATTGCTATCAATATTCAGAACAAAGAAGGAGTGAAAAAAGACAATGAACAACGCACTCTATTTTTAAGGGAACGTTGTATTTTAAGATTATTCACATCACTTTTTGCATGTTAATGTTATGGGTTGTGTAAGTCGAAGATGAGCTATGCATATTTCGAACATTAATGTAATCTAGAAACCTAACCCAGGGTTTTGTGATTACTAAACTCACGAGAAAGTCAAACTATTTCATTCCTTAGACAACTTCCCTTTCATTACAATTTTGTTAGTAACGTACTAAATAATACAAATGCTATTGAAAATTTAAGGACTCGACGGACTTTGAAGCGATTTTTAGAATATTAAGATGCGTTCCTTGAGTAAGATTTGGTGTATAAATTATTACTAAATGACAAAAGGGATCGGTGCTCGAAAGGCAAACGTGCCGCGGTGCGGGTCCTTGCTAATATTTAATTTGCATCTCGAAGCTATGTTCAAAATGTTTACGACATTTTTACAACGAAAATGACGAAAATTGTAAGCATGCGACGACTTTATAGCTTTACTTATGTGTACAAAGATTATGACATTATTCAATAGAAAAATTGGTATCATAAGCAACTGCTTACAGTTTAGTATAAGCCTATGGTTTGAAGTATGTAGTAATCTCTATTTGGTACGTAAAAGAATATAAAAGTTTTAAGTAACTTTTAAGTTTGATGTTAATAACTATTATTCTGAGGTGTAAAAAAGATATTATCCAGTTAAAGTATTGCTGAATTCAGGCACTTTACAACTGAACTCTAAGAATAGCGGAAAACTACGTACCACGCACGCACAGGTACGTAGTTAACGCACGCACAGCTAAGAATAAAAAATGTTCCTATTCACAAAAACTTTGTCTTTATACTTGTTACATAAATAACACAACACGTAGGTAATACATATCACATGCCTTTTGCGAAGAAATGGTGCCCCACACACGTAAGTATATACACTCGTAGTGACGTCCTTGGTGCATGTAGGTACCTATTATATTATCTGCGAAGAGTTGTGAATGAATAAAGGCAAAGGCAGGCTACAGCGACGCGCATAAAGAATAACATTGTCATAAAGATTTGTCTTCGGTACTACCTAAATGTAATGAAAACTGACAGTGAATTCATAAGGAAGTCTCCTTGGTTAATCGAGTGAAAGTTACGTGAGCGTTTCACGTCTCGCGTAAGAAATGGAGAGGACTGTGAACGCGCTGAGATACGGAATGTGAATTAGGGGAAAGAAAAGCGTTTCATTGGGTTCGGTGGCAAGGAGCGGCGAGGTGGCGAGGGCGAGAGGACAGATAGTATCGCCATTATCGCGTCCGTACCGTATTCACGTCAGCATAATGCTCTAATTGGGCGCAATTACGGCCGATCCGGCGGAAGGCGCCGCCGTCAGGTAGAGACGCTCGTGTCCTCGTAAATACTCGTTAACGACACCCAACCCCCAGAAAAATAATATTTCTCGACGCTGACTCCCGTCTAAAGAAAACGACTGCGATGAAAATGCTCACGTACTTACGAACGAAAGAATTTGAGGCTAAGTTAACGGGCTGGGACAAATGTGCGGCATATTCTTTCGTCTAGATTATGATACCAGAATTTGAATGAGTGCGTGCACAATTCAAATTGAATGGTGTGTCGTAATACTAAAATAAACCATCAAATTAACCACACACATTCGGCTTCTGTTTTTTGGCAGCCAATTTATAAACTGAAAGGACTTTTTGCAACGAAATGTTCCCTGTATGCAACGAGTAATATAGATTAAAATGTAAACACCATTTCAGCTCATAAATTAAAAATACGTAGTTGATTATGATTATGTATTCTGAATAAAAAAGTTTGTTGGTTTATAAATAACAACACGTTTCACATTGTTTCCTTATTTTCTTTGATTACAAAAAAACATCAAAATATACATTATGAAGCTGCGTTTAATACATTGAACAAAAAGTTACAAGCTCCTTACTTTAGCTGGCAACTTTTCTTATAGAAGCAGCAAGGTAAATTGGAAGAAAAGCGGTCAGTGAAGGAAAAGTACATTAAATATTGATGATAGTGTTTTTACCCTACTCTAAAAGGACTTATATTATTACTCACTACATTAGTTTCTATATAAAATTACTGTGACATTAACAGATGGCTATTTAACAAGGTTGGAAGTTTGAACCCTTTGAAATGTAATTAATATTACGAATTTCATCTGAAATCAATAATTTGGAAAAGTTTTACGTAATTAGTGATACATGTGTGTAGAGTTCCCTCTGGGAATTCTGTACAGAGCTATTCGGGGTAGTTAACGTAGTCGTCAATCATAATAATATGTGGGGTCATTATTGTGGTATTTTGACATTATTTCGTAATTATGATCCTATGGAATTGTTTAAAGAGTAACCTCGTTTTCCTACATCAGACTTACACATAGTATAAAACAATGTTGCTATCCGCAGTCTGTCTGTTCCTATGTATGTTTTTTTTTAAGGTGGGAAAATCATAGAATGCGTGCTCCCGCCTGAGTGAGGCGGGAGGGAGTGTCAGACTACTACTGACTAAAACCACCCCGTTCCTTCTCCTGCAAGTCGAGCCGGAGCCCCGGTAACCCGTTAGGTTCTCCGTGACTCCGAATCGGCATCGGCCCTGTTGGGCCCCATCTGTGGTGGTCTGATGGCTCTTTGAGGTGCGCGCGGAACGTGACGCGCCGTCCGCAGGCCCGCGCTTACGGTGGCCGGAGATCGTCCCGCAATCCCTGACGCCCGGTGTGTCCTTCACGATGGCTGGGTTGCGAGGAGGCAGCACTTCCCTGCCTCACGCGTCCCGCCTCCTCCTTAGCTAGCATAACTGCTTCGCAAAAGGAGGAGACGCCATCCTATTACCCCTCGCTCCACATCATGACCCGCACTAGGCCCGGACGCGAGAGGTCGCCATCGCCGATCACTTCCCTGAGGGCACGGCGGTGCTCAGCCCTCCGGTTCAGGTTCCAGTTTCCTCCCACCCCATCAGACACAGGTAACTCCCGAAACTTCCATGTCCGGTGAGGACCTACGTCAGGCGGTAGGTGAGGACGCCGTAGCGTCTCTCAAGCTACTTCTCAAAGAGGGGACTTACCGCTGCAATGGCAGCGAGCCCAGTCCCTATGTATGCTTAGATCTTTAATACCAAGCAACGTATTTTGATGCGGATTTTGTAATAGATATAGTGATTCTTAAGAAAGGTTTATATATGTATAATACATGCTTTTCCAATTTAGCACTTGTCATTTAGTAGCAAGTGTGTCGGAATGTTGCTCAAAATTGCTTGCCAATCAACAGGCGTTACATTTTTGAATAGTTTTGAGCATGCTCAGTAGAATGCATTTTAGCATGCTATTTTAGAGCTTGTGTAACGGTACCTTTACTTCAAAATTCAGATGTGTTGCTAGTTGACTCCTAGATGTCTATTGTGAAGAGTAACATGCTAAATATTTATATATAATAAAATATGTATTCGAAAGAAGACGAGGACCTATATAAGATGAACAAAACTCCTTGACTGATACAAAAATATACATACAAATACTTACAAAAAAGGCAAAAGGTAACAATAGATTCGGATCGGAATGGATAGTTTAGTGACCTTCTTTATGAAAATTTAATAAAAAAATATTAATATTTTTCTATTCTGCATTCTCAAGATTAACTTGCTTGAGTGGTCAGTGAGCTATGAAGTGAAAGATTAGTTCATAGAATACTTAGTAATTCAATTCTGTCTTAATTGAATTACAACTATTCTTATTACATTTAAGTAATATAAAATAGCAATTATGACTTAAAATTACTAACATCAATCGTTAGTATGAAACTTTGCAGATAGACTCCAGTTTTAACTGTAACACGGAGTTGTCACAGCACAAATACTAGCAATAAGCTTAATTGCTATCAACACACCGAAATACTGTCACGATAACCTGAATGTAAACAGAAATCAAATGTAATGAACCACATAGGAACGGTTGACCCAACATATGAGCACAATGATTCGGGAATATGATGGCAACCGTTAATTGTCACGTAGAGCAAGCTACGGGCCTATTGTGGTGACATCGAAATTGCTAAAAATACCTCATAAATCACAACCAATGATTGGCTTCAAAGTATTCCAGAACATTATGTTCACCGATTCCCGGGACTCATCAGCGGCAGTAAAAATTTAAATGAGTCGTAATTTCAAGTTATCGAGGCGTTATCGTAAAAGAAAATCAAGTTCAAATATGTACCGCTAAACACGTTCAGTGTGTTGTGTAATGCAAACATGACAGTACAGGAATACTAACATATTTGTTAAAGCTAAAACATGGCACGTCGTTGACTCAACTAGTTCACAGAATCCAAGCAAGTGAGTAAGCAGCTTATAATATTCTCAGTAAGTGTTGTTTATAGTACTTCATAGATCGTGAACTAAGAATAAAGTTTGCTGAAGTTGTCTTACAGCATTGAAGACAGCCCATAGTGTGCAGTTGCCCGGGCCGACACCGGACTGGCTTGAATTAATGTATTTCTTACTGGACAAATCCCACTTGGAATTATTTAAATTAAATAAGCAGCTGCTGAGGATATTAATTTTGTTAGTCCTCAAAGTTTATATTTTTCTTAATCTTTTAAGTCTTTACATCTCTTAAGTTTAAAACGCTTTTAGTAGCATAATTTATAATTAATTAGATAGCTAACCGAGTAATTGTATAAATTTAAACCAAGTTCCAGTGAGGAGGTGGTTTAAAATCACGTCGCTTTTGGTAGCACACGTCTGTGTTGAATTTTAGATAAAAACGTTTGAATACATACATATATTGCACAAACTCTGCATAAAGCAGCGGAGGTCTTTATTAGACTTTCTTGTGTATTTTATTGCTATATTCAAACTCGACATAATAAAAGTTTTGTGTAAAGAGAAGAAACTGCGGGAGAGAAGTAAGTAGAGAAAATTCTGTGAACATAAATTTTAAGTACAGGTGGGTTCTGTATATTTCCATGTTGATGTGTTAATGAAAGCCGGTGTTCGTTTCGCTCAAGGTTTTACAGTCAACCAAGCTACGGAGCACGGTCCTTCTACGACGTATATTACCTGTGGGCTTGCAAACTTTGTCTGTGAGTACCATGTGAAATATTTTGGCAGTTCGTTCAAATTATTACTTTACGATGAAGAATTGAAAGTGTAACAAGTTTACATGTTTCCTTTTTATCGATTACAAAATTCTACATTACTACATTTAACACAACATGTCTGTTTTCTTGAAGACGACAGCTGAAATTTACTAATTTATAATCGTCAATTACCAACATTGAAATTATTTTTACAAAACTTCTAATTCGACCTAAACACAACAAACTTGACAAATCATTTCATTACCCATAACAGCAGTTAATTATAATGTAGCGATATATCATTAACTTATGTAGAACAGCGAAGATTGTTTCAAGTACGAGGTAATAATGTAACTTACATTGCACCATAAGCACGACGCGCTTGCTGATCGATGGCGGGACTCCGTTCGAGGCGATACACAAGTAGGCGCCCATGTGAAGTCGAGACACTTTCGATATCGTTAAATTTTCACCATCTACCACGTTCACTGCAACCAAAGAACACTCGTTTATCGAACAACTTCGTACGAGTTAATTTACACACGGAATTTCAAATGTTAGGGAAGTTTGAATATTGGTTAGTTTGTTATGAATGCGTGAACAGGGTCTAGACAAGTGCATTTCGATGTTCGTAATCGTTTCGTATGGCTGATCAAAATGTATGGGATTAACATTAGCTTCTGAAATTTGACGAAGGATGATAGAATTTGAACAGGGATTTCGTGAACATACTTAAAGCCTTAGACGTTTGTAGTAGTAATCTTTAGAATTAAAAAAAACTATAAATGTTACTGAATAGATCGTTACTTTCAATGTTTTTGTATTTAAGGAAAATTCCAGCCCACCAATGATGACCCAATTTAAAAATCCATAATGTATTCCTACTAAAATTGCTCACGTTTAATTTAGATGTAAAAAAGGAATGTGGTAAAATACTGAATATAATTGTTAAACGTAAGTGAATTATGGCGGGCTTTCGTAATTATTCATGTTCGATAGTCCATTGTTAATTCAATTGCGAAAATATTCCTGTTATGTTCGTTTACGGCTACAATTTCGTAGTACCTACTATGTGGAACAATTCATTTTATTTCGTACCCTTTTGGGATCCTCCATTTGAGGATTGAGATCTGGTAGGAAATATTTGCTGTTAGGTCAGGCTTTCGGCCTATATTCATAATCTTATTTTTAATCCATAAATATGTTATAAATAAACTTACTACTTACTCGTTTTAGTTTTAAGTTATTAAAATTGGGTATGAATAATTTTTACAAAAAGGGTTATACCCTTTTAAGCATTTAAAGACCAATATACATTAAGCTAATATCAACACAGTGACAAGTAAAATAAATTGTGTAAATTATATTTTGATCAACTGGCATAAAGAGGAAAATAATCTTTGTTATAATTTCGTTGTGTTGAGAACAGAATTTTGTTTTGAACCGTGTAACGTTAGCGATGGACGATGTACGGGATCCCAGTGGGTACATTCCACTCCATTTTTCGCTTCAGGGATTTCTTTCATTCATCTGCTTTGTTTCGCCGGGAGCGCGTCAGTGTAATGAGCGTCCGGAACTAATGTTTTGACCGGATATTTATAGGAGCACCAAAATCTTTTGTTAACTGTGTTAGCTGTTCTTTTTGTTTCCATTTAAGAGAACAAAATAGACTTTTAACTTGGTATGAAGCGTTTGGGCGTAGATGATTCGCATTAGCGACAAGATAAAGTTTGCGATATTTTAATGGGATTTTGGAATTCTCTTTTTCTTTTGATGATTTCAAGTGATAACAAAGTCAGCATTAATATTTTTGACTTGAATAATTATTCAGTTTATAAGACCTTTTCTCTTACCTGATTCGCCATTACAGTTGAATTCTTGTCCATCCTCTCGCCTCCACATGACGTACGGTTCAGGGTATCCAGTGGCTCGGCAGACCATGGTCACGTTGGTACCTTCGCGAACCACCATATCGGTCGACGTCATGTTGTCTATTATCACTGGTGGTACTAGGGACAAAAAAAAGTATTAATAATAGTAGGTGCTTAGAATAAAAACCTAACGAAATTAGCAATCATATTTCCCTACATAATAACATAAACACAAAGCTGCAACACACAAAATATTTCATGTTATAATTGATTTCGTGAATATATTTTTTATTAAGGGTAAGGTCACCGTTACCTGCTCTATTCCCGGGTCCGAACCGCAACCACAGCAATGCTATATAAATTCGTAACCTTATTACACCTAAACTAGGGACGGTGTACGCAGGTATTTAGTTCGGGTATTTTAATGTCAAAATATCAACTTGCTCTTAGCCCAGGTTTGATAGTAAAGCTTTTAGGGGAATAAAATTCCACCCTAAAATGCCGGGTATGTTAGGCAGTTTTGTCAATAAACCTGGACAGGCAAACCTGTAGAGTGGGACTGCCATTCAGTAATGGAGCTAGTCTAGCACAACGTTGCAAGAGCATTGCAATCTGTCTAAAATGTTCATTGATAGTCGTTTCACCGTATACCTTAAGTAAAATAATAAAGGTTCCGATAAAATAATAGTTTATACACTCACCCACCACCTGCAGGTATCCCTTCCTGGAGCGCATAGGGTCGGTGTTGACCTGGCACATGTACCAGCCGCGGTCCACCTCCTGCACGTTCTTGATGTGGAGGTACCACGAGCGGTGGTCGTTGTATGACAGACTGATGCGCGCGTTCTGGGTTATTATGTTGTGGTGGATGCTCAGAATTGTCTGAGTGTCCACGCGGACCCACGCCACCTGTATAAATAAATTGGGTTTCACTACCAAGATACAACTATAAATTGATTTTGTCGCTTTCTCACTGAATAATATTATAATACCTCAATGAATCAGATCCAGCTTTACAATGCTAAACAGCGATTTGTTATTCAAAGTTTAAGGACTTGAAGTCAATATCGAAATGAAAATGTCGAGGCTAACATAAAAATACATTTCTTAGGTGCACAAGCAATGAATTTCTTCATACAGCTGGCTGCATTATAAGGACATGTACGGATGAACGAGCAGCAAATGTAAAAGTGCGGCAAACCAGAGAAGTAAGTATTTCCTTTGAAGCATTTCAAAGAATTTATGGATGTGCATAAAGTTTTAAGTATATGTAGAAACTTGTATTTTTACGAGAGTGACAAACACATTTAGGTTTCCATGAGATAGTGATCCGTTATACAAAGTTACGAGTTTTATCGAGCTGACTCACGTCCACATGCAAACTAAGTTTTACCACAAAAATTATATTACACTTATCAATCTTATCTCGGAACCCGTAAAACAAAAGCTTTTCTCAACAATATTTTGCTAACGTGACCTACTCGGAAAAGTATTGTATTGTAGAGTAATGCTCCTTTTCTAATTCAGTTGATGTTTCGTATTTATAAAGATGTACAATGTATAATATAACGATATTCTAAAAGTTTATTTGATTATAAAAGAAATAAAGAGCTAAATAGACCAATTTGATTATTGTACCTCTCATGACATGCAACTATTTTATTCTTTTGACTTTATAATTTAATTTTCGTCACGGAATAATCCAAATGGCTACTAATTCAGCCTCACCTTCTCCCAAATATATCTGCGCTATACAGCACTCCAATTTCGCTAACTAGCCGTCCTGCATGATTAATAACTGGCGAATCGTGCATTCTGAGCAAAGTGATATTAAGTTGGCTTGTTAAAACTTTACCCCGTGCACCGCACGAATGGAGTTGTATGAAGTTCTGGCGCAACGTATCCGTTCATAGAATTACACGGCGCTCGTTCATCATGGGGCATGACGTCATCGGTGAAGACTCCGTGCTACTGTTTGTTTGCTTTCTTAATTGCTTGCCAATATCAACTTGAGGTATGCTCGTGTAAATAGACTGAGGAACTAATACCGTCGGCGATGTGTTTTGACGTTAACAACAGTCTGTAAGATCCCTTAGTTGGAATACTCGAGCAGAAAATTCCTGTTACTATTCATTCCGTTTGTGATTCAAACTTTTGTAAAAGGCAGGGCAAAGCATGAAGCTCCTTGTTGAACTTTGCTGACATCATGTGTGTACACGACAATCCTTCAGAGATATCCAAGCTGTATATTTACTTTACAGTGAAGAAACTTCTATAATTTAGATACGGTATAAATCTTTCTATGAAGTCTGCTATTCTAATGTTGGGATCAACCCTTTGGTAGCTAATAATTTAGGGTGGTACCAGAATCACCGCAACGGGTTCTGATGGATTAATGATTTGTGGCATGGCGTATCAGTTAACAAGTGAAGACTGACATGGCTCAGTTCATATATACTTGTGTTTATCGTATTAAATATATAACTTTGTGCGATATAAGTAAATATGTTATTATATACGGCGGTAACTTGGCAACAACGTGAATAACAAGGAAGAGAGAATTGATGTGTGTTAGAGCGAGGTTGCTTGACAGGATCAATTTGTGTAACGATATTGGCCAGTATTGGCGTAGCTTTCGGTTTGAAATTATTTACTGGATACCTTTACTGTATTCAGTAAAGGTATCGTAGGTACCTCTAATGAAGATAATCACGTATTAATTTCATTTCATTTTTAATGTTACATTATGTACTTATACATTTTAACGAAAAATTTGGGGAATTACAATTAACTTCAAAGTATGTAACGCATCTCTCTAGACTTCAGAATCGAATCGAAGATAAAAGTATTCGACAGTGAAACATTGGAATAATGGTCGTTTAAAACACCGTCCCTTACACAACACTCTCATTGTGAAGTATCAAAAATAATGAGGCCACCACGCGTTGACTGTTTACACGTAAAAATTGCAAAGAAAACAATTTGCGAAACAAACCCTTGAAAATGGTAACTAAAATAGCAACCCCTATTCATGAAGCCGTTGTTTAATTAACTTTACAAAGTTACAAAACGAGGGCTTTTGGTATTTTTTCACTAGAAAGGGGAAAATTTTAGTGGGGTATGAAATGTATAGTCACCTTGTAACCTCGTAAGTCTTCGACGACGCAGGCGAGGAGCGCGTCTCGTCCCACCGTCACCGTCACGTTCGTGACCGGCTCCACGAAACGAGGAAACAATGATTCTGAAACAAACACAACAGATAAACAGATCTGTTTGCAATGCTTTGTCCTAGTTGTCGTATTTGTATGTATTTTATTTTATAACCATGTCTATCGGTACATTTATGTCTTGGTATGTAAGTGCATGTAGGTTCTATGTATTCTCTTCTTTCCTTGCTTATAGTATCTAGTACCTAGCTTGCTAGTACCTAGAGAGTACCTTTTTTATAGAATTGTAAATTGTTCCACGTACAAGGTAAAAAAGAGTCCTAATATTATTAATATCTTATTAGATTAGGTTTATGTGAATCTGACATTTAATACAATACACGGAGTTAACTAGACCGTTTTAAATAAACAACAATTTGCTCTTTCATTATTCAACAGTTATTTAGCAAAATAGTGAAAAAAGTAAACACAACAAGTCAGTACGGAGGCCAAGTAAAAAACGTGAACTAAGTACCAGTATTAAGTATAACTAATTGGTTGTTATTAATTTGAAGTGAACACGAATGTGCCGGTGACTTTTGACTGCGCGGTTACGTTCGCAGGTAGTCACACTGAGAACTGTACACTTAAATTAATCAATCACGACAGAGAATAATGTTGGGTCGGCCATGAATACATACAATGGGTTTAGGCACATGTAAGTACAAGGGCTAGGTACAAGAGCAATCCATCAAAGTACATACTTTAGTTATATTGAGTAATATTTGACACGGACCCTTTGATTCGTCAGTATTTGCTAAGGTTGGCTTTTCACTAATATTGAGCCAATTTAAAAGGTCTGCATAGAAAAAAAAATACGACGCCTTTGTGTTCTCAGAAACGTGTACTTTACTATAATGTTTTCTTTTGCAATAGAGAATTTCATAATCTGATAGTTATTCCATGAGCAGGTCTCTCGAAGTGTTCCGAAATACCTGGGTGCCTTAAGCAACTTAGATGTAATCCTGGCTCATAAACTATAAAGTCAATGTTGTAGTAGTTCGTGGAGCTTGTAGGTAATTTGAAGCTTTATTTACATGGTTGCTATAGCGTAGGTGCCGTGTGCGCGCCGGCTTGTAAACCACAAGTAGCCTATTTGGTTATCTGCGAAGTGTGTACCAAATGGCGGTTAGAGCTGGTCGCATTGCGGCCTGTGGTTACGCCCTTATAATATGACCCGCCATTGCTTCTGAGTTACGCCGCTCCCTGATTATATTAGGCAGGATACTAATTTATTGTCAACACCAACTTTAATTTCCAACCTCAAACTTATAATTGAAATAGAGAATTACAGGAAAGTAAGGAACTTTGGATTATTATTATAAGCGCAAAACAACTTTCTAGTTGACTTCGTACTGATAAACTGAATCTCGGCAAAAGATTTTGTTTTTACAGTTTCGAAATCGGCTCCAAAAATATGAATAAAACATGTCGATAAAGTTGAATAATGTCCGCCACTTTGGAAGTGAGAAGACTTACGTATGTAGCCGTCAATACTACACCGATCGATATGAGCGATGCTTCAATGCTGCAACAATCTATTTAGGCTAAACAACCTGAGACACGGAAAAATATCCGCGAATGATTGATGAGTGAGTACGCGAATAGAACAAATCCATCCAGCGGCCATCAATCTTAGCGGTGGAGCGGTGCGGGCCGCTGTGCAAGCGACGCGCGACGTCGTCGTCTCTAATGAAAGAAGAGCTTACCGAGCACGTATAAACAATCGGAAAATGTTGTTTCTAATATCCCGCAAGATAGATGGCCCGTGAAATGTGCTCTTAGCTGGGATCAAGCCTTTTTTAATAGAAAAATGATTGTGCCAAGTCTTTTGTTCAACTTGGGAACGGCTTCAATACTACGTAATAGTGTACGATGTTGGCCGGTCAAATCTCTAACGTCGCATTGTCGAAAAATGTGTTACAATGTCGGGGAAGCGACAAAACGCTTGCTGTGTCGTTGTATTCCACGATACGTGACCTTTGAGAATGGTTTTGTAGGATTCTTTTCAATTTTGAATTGATGCTGCTATGAATAATGAATTTGACATGCTTTGATTTTTTATTTACCTGTTGTTTTATATAAACAATGTTTGACTAGATGTCGTGGAATTAATAAGTGACTGCCTAAAAGTATTATTAGCATCAATGTTTTCTTTAGACTCGATAATTTCAAAATAACAGGTTCTATTTCACTAAGCCTGTATACGTACATACCTACCTAGCTGGAATCGAATAAAGTTGACCTTTAGTTTGGAACAGACTACCAACAACCGCAACATTGCCTACAGTCTTATTACCCCTATGTAATTTCATTTGTATTGCTCGCCTAATTGAAAACTATGGGTTCTAGTAAATAAATATTAGATTCGGAGGGTAACTACATTCACTAAGCCTGACAGTATTATCATCACTTTGGTTCTAACTAATATCGTCACGTGATTACAAATCGTTCGTAATAGGTAACCTCCATAACTTAACGAGACCCCAAAGACGGTTAAATCCTACTGTAAAGGGTTTAATTACTTTAATAAGCTCTAATACAGTGTAACGTGTTAATAATGTAGTCGGTGTTGATGAGACAACGAGATTACTCGGCCACTTGAAATATGATTACGGGCGGGCCGCTCATCAGACCGTAAGTGTTTACGGATGCACGTGACGGGTCGCGCCTCCCACTCGGCAGTCGGGCCGCCTCGTCCACTGCTCGCGTATTTACCTAATTGGCACAGTACGCTGTGACAAAAGTCCGTGTTGGGCTCCCCGGCAAATTAGATTCCCTGCCCACCCGCCGCCCGCCGATGTCCGGGCCGCTCGCCATCGCTGTCGCTCGCTTTACTTACCTCTTTCACCCTAAATTGACTTTCCTCTAATTGAAATACGAGTCAAAGACTCATTCCGCTATTAATCTTTTTGTTTGTTTTTATTATTTGGGTACTGCAGTGCAATTGGATACTATTTTATCCACGCCATTAGTTGGGTAACTAATGGCGAGGATAAAATAGTGGGTACTAATAAAGGATTTAAGTAGGACAATTTGATTTTAAATATTATTATTGTTTGAAAGTTTTGTCGTTGACATAACCTTTGAACAAATTATTAAAACAGAAAACCTTAGTATTATGGTATGTAAGAAGTATTTTGTGTATTTGAATGTCGTTATACCATAATCACTTCTTTCGTATCTACTTCATACTTCGTATAAAGTTGATACTTGCATCTTCTGTCTACTTTTATAAAATTCAATTCAGTTACGCGATATACAAGAAAGGAAAAATTTGAATAATTTTAAAGTGTAACATACATTTCGGACATGGGAAATGGCGTTCACCTAAAAATAAAACCGATTGTAGCAAATTCGAGTAGCCGAGTCTCACGGCGGCTTCGCTGTGGCTGTGGGTATTCATGAGTATCGATTTTATGCAAAATGCAACAAGATTCACTTGAACATGTCGGCTATACGATACGCATTATGTGAGGAACCGATCTATTCTACAATTACATTGGCGTATATACGGCATTTGTAAATGGGTGCGTACATTGTCGGGCCGGTCGAATGAGCCTGTCCGGGATATTGAGCGCGTCGAAGTCGTGTACGTATAAACATGTAACACAATTAGCGGTCAGGTGTTCCAAGCGACACAGCCCTTCGCAATAAGAGCTTGATAAAGCCAATTTAACTGGAGATTCGATTCTGCCTGTTTATTATTATCAGCCGCGCCTAATTTCAGTTCCCCGGGTCCTATTGTGTAAACTGAATGAACAAACAACTAATGCAAATTTCGGTTAGTTAACTAATTTGAAGTTTACAGATAGATCACGACACTATCTAGTGTAAGACGCGAATTTGTGGTATTCGAGTTCATTGGAATCGCGAGAGTGGATCATTTATTGCGCGGATGGAATTTAATTTTGGTTACATCGTTAATCTTAGTAAAGTATTGTACCTGACAAATAATAAGATTGGACGAGTCTACATTTTTCTTTGTTCTCGGAATTGTGTCGTGTAGTAGTAACGTCGTATGTAATTGTGTCGCGTTGTTACATTAAAGTTTAATTGTTAACATTAACACGTGTGATGCCAATTAGTACAGATGCTTAAGCGTAATCGCTTCTCGGGCTGAGTTTGTAGCACTTCGTTACATCGTTGTTAAGTGCACCTAATGCGACTTGTTCCGTACTTCCTCTGCTAGTAACACATACATATATTACAATCTTCAATTAATGTGTCTGGAGGCACATCATAATATGTGTTTGATACTATAAAATTGTTCTTAGACGAAACCAAAATGCTGTGTACGTATGTGTTTTAAATTGTTTCGTTGGAATGATTATTACAAAACGTGATTATTAATATGATATAGATAAAATATGCTTTGATTTGTTTCTTAGCGTCAGCTAAAGATTTAATTCAATGGTGTCAATCAAGTGTCTACAATTAGAATAAACTATTCCCAAATGTATTATATATATTATTATATTTATGTATTATATAATTACAAAAGTGTTCCCAAATGGTGGCAAATCTAACTGAGGTTAGCCGACCTATGAGAAACTTATACGTATATAATATTGCACCGACACAAACACAGGTGCACTCTCTATTCCCAATCTTGTAGTCTCCGTCTCGACGAGACGACAATCCGGCACGAACATACGGAATGCACTGGCGATTTTATGCGATATCTAATGTGATATGAAAAATATAAGAGATGGTATAGAATATTTCTTTGTTTTTCCTGAAAATTCCTTGTTTCTGGTTAATTTTTTACCATATTTGTATTTATGAGCTTGCCGTGAGTTTTCAAATATTCTGAATTCGATCATTAAAAAGAACGAATGATCGAAACTTCTACAGCGGTTTCGTAACGTAACTGGTCAAAAACTTTTTTGAAGTAGAAATCATTATGAGTGATAAGTCTTTGTGCCTATTACTTTTTATTTATGTTTATTATGTCTTTTATCTGTATGCACTAATTTATTATTAATGGTGTACAATAAAGATAATTTTATTGTATTCTATCCTTTAATTCTTC